CGATGGTGATGATAATGACGACGACGACGATGACGACGACGATGATGATGATAATGACGATGACGACGATGACGACGACGATGATGATATAATGATATGATGATGTTGATCATGGTAATATAAACAATAATGGTGGTCATGATGGTCATAATGATAATGGTAACAATGTAGAGTCAGGCGGGAAGAATAAGAAAGCAAGAAGAATGATAATCATGGCGGAGTTACTCGAGCACGAGTCAGGCCAGGATGAAATAAACACATAATTAAACTCAGCGGCACTAGCAATAGGATCATCTACACGTGACAGCGCCATCTATACGCGCAATAACAAAGTATTTGTACGTCCACAGAAGCGATTGGAGTTCGAACCAAGAGAGTGCCGAACACCCCGGAGCGAAAACATGTAACCATCAATTGTAATGGAGAGAATTCGTGCAACAGTCACGGGAGAAGGGCAACCTCTGCCGTAAGATCTACTCAAACGCTCCTCTATAACACATAGTTAAATTGACTACGTCACGAATTTTCTATGGTGTATATTTGTTGCAATTTTTTTACATGAAAGTAAGTACTAATAGCACTAAATGCATCCTCAAATTCTTTCCTGATGAGATTGTTTTTCAACTAGTTCGGAATCCAAAAAATCTGGGCGATTTGATATATTGATCACGACATTAAATGCTTGCTATGTGTCACGAGTGTTCGTTCACATCGAACGGAATAGCAAAATAGGAAGTATAATACAGCAATTTAACCATAAAAGTGAACAAAATCACTTACATTTTGTTTAAAAAAAGTGGACATCAATGTTCTGCTTTTACTATTTACGGTAATGACATAATCACTTTAAATAGTTAAATATTTACAGAGTTCCCAATGTAACGAGTTACACTCGACACTTAAACGCGACTCTCTACCACATAGATGATTGCATTCACCCCGTAGGTAAAGAGTTACACGCATGTTCCTTTCGTCCCCTATAATTACATCTTTTATGTATAATTCCGACCTTGACCAATATGTTATGAAATATATATATGTTATAAAATATCGCATTTGCCGTGAGATGTTCCTAATGTCCTTGTGAGAATAGTATATGTAAAAAATAGTATGGTGAAAATCCCCAACCCTTAAACCATAGACTTAAACCTTGTCCTTACAGTTCTAACATGCCTTCCTTTTCATTTCACCCATAATTTGTTGAGGCCTATGTGGTCTTGGGAATTTTACCCTATTACTAATAATTCCTAATCTCTTGGATTCCTATACAGACCCCTTATTCTTCCACAGAAAGCTATATTATACACACACACACACATCCACAAAACCTGTCGTAACTATATTTATTTATTTATTTATTTATTCATTTATTTATGATTAGGACCACATGGACTGTTTGTGTTTATATATGTGATATTTTCTTGCAGTTGTACTAATGGGGACATGCTCGGAGGATCAAGGACACAGAAACTCGAACTCAAGGCCATGACCCCAACGTCACATGTCATCTACGGATATTTCTAACCACCGCCGCCATGTTGGTTCATTGCGTCACGTGCTTAGGCGATCACGTGACTGCGTACGACAGAATTTCGGATTTTGGTTCAAGTTTTAGTTGATTAGCATATAGCTGCGATGACGTAATGCACGGATCTCCGTGACGTCAGATAACCAGCGTTGCAAGCATTGATATTTTGATTGCATCGTTAATTACTGTCTATTAACACTGGAATGCCGATGTCAGAAA